TTTGTTATTACTATTGCCTCTTTCTTGATTTAAACGCTCACTAAACTAACTCATAAAAAGGACTCACACGAAAGCCCAAATGACCGTGTTGAGCTTTTGAACATCTAGGACTTAACATCAACACTAGTATGTATATATATATATATACAAAGTACAAATAACATATATATATATACATATATATAGAGATCAAATACAAACTCTTCTTAATTTACAAAGTACAAACTCATCTTGACCATCCAATGAGTTGATCCAAAGGACATAAAGGCAAGGTGGCATTTTTGTAATAAAACCCAACTTTTTTAGGGTGCAACTCATTGAACGTTAATGTGCATCTGCTATTTTATGGCTGAATAATATGCACTATTTTGAACCTCAATATGCAATACAAAGAACGTTAAGGTGCATCGTACAAATATTTGCACAATAAGCACAATATATATATATATATTGGTTCAAGTGAGAAATGCATCTAATGTGAGAAATGAGAATGAATCTCAGCCATTAGATTCGCGAAGTTGCACTAAAATGATTTGATGTTGCAGTGATATTTAAATTTTGCACATGTTGCATTGAAACTGTTTCATGTTGCACTAATATTTGACGGCGTTGCACCGAAATAGCTTCATGTTGCACTAGACATGTCTAATACGGATTTTTCAGAAGTATTTACAGAAATGCCACCGTACTTAGTCGAATCCAATGGCTGAGATTCATTCTCATTTCTCACCTAAAGGGTTCTTCTTACTTGAACCTTACCCTATATATATATATATATATATATATATATATATATATATATATATATATATATATATATATATATATATATATATATATATATATTTAAATATCACTGCAACATCAAATCATTTTAGTGCAACTTCGCGAATCTAATGGCTGAGATTCATTCTCATTTCTCACATTAGATGCATTTCTCACTTGAACCAATATATATATATATATATATATATATATATATATATATATATATATATATATATATATATATAGGCCTGATCCTGTCCAGCTGGAGGGACAGGATCCGCCGTCCGGCCGTCGCCATTTGGGACCCTTCCCGGTGGAATTTTTTGATGAAATTTTTTTGAGCATGTTGTTCATGAAGTCTAGTTTATCCATACCCAATTTCAGCTAAAAATTCAACCGGGAAGGCAGTCAAATGATTTTTGGAAGTTAACTGCGCAGTTTATATACATATAAAATGCAGTTATCTTCCAAAAATCATTTGAGTGCCTTCTCGGTGGAATATTTAGCTGAAATTTGGTATGGATAAACTAGACTTGATGAGGAACGTGCTCAAAATATTTCATCAAAAAATTCCACCGGGAAGGGCATCTGATGGCGTTGGCTGGACGGTCCCTCCGGAGGGACCTGATCTTCTATATATATATATATATATATATATATATATATATATATATATATATATATATATATATATATATATATATATATATATATATATATATATATATATACATACACTAAAGTTCAGGTCCGGCCAGGCCGGACCACTCCCTCCGTCCGGCCTCCTCCATTTGGGGGCCTTCCCGATGGTATTTTTTGCTCAAATTTTTTGTGTAGGTTCCTCATCAAGTTTAGTTCATCCATACCAAATTTCAGAAAAAAATTCAATCGGGAAGGTTGTCAAATGATTTTTGCAAGTTAACTGGTCCGGAATATGTATTTTCCGGACCAGTTAACTTGCAAAAATCATTTGACGAACTTCCCGATTGAATTTTTGGCTGAAATTTGGTATGGATGAACTAGACTTGATGAGGAACCTACACAAAAAATTTGAGCAAAAAATACCACCGGGAAGGCCCCCAAATGGAGGAGGCCGGACGGGGCTCCGGTCAGGTATACCTGACCGGAAGACTACTCTCTCTCTCTCTCTCTCTCTCTATATATATATATATATATATATATATATATATATATATATATATATATATATATGCATTAACAATATTATATTTATCCTTAAACTTATTTTATTATAAATTAAACTTAATACTCAATATTTTTTTATAAAATCTAGTATAAATATTTAAACACATATTCATCAAATTCTCTTTAAACTTTTATTTAATTATTATCAATACTCTATTTATATTCACTTTTCATTATAATAGAGATTTCAAGGAAGTTTTAGTTAGTACTACTACATTATATATTAATACAAAGTATATAATAAGTATATTTAACTTAATAATTTTTTATAAATTGACTAAATTAAAAAAATTTAGTATATACTTTGTGTTAATATTTAATTTAGTATTATTAAAACTATTTTAAAAAATTTATTACAATGAAAAATATGATTATTAAATAACTTTTTTTTGAAAGGGATTATTGAAAAACTTTTGATAAGGACCTTTGATAATGAATAAAAGGTAAAAGAGAATTTAATTAGTATGTGCTCAAATATATCTGTTATTTATTATGAAAATTATTGAAAATTAAGTTAAACTTATACTCCGTACTCCGTAGTAGAAATAACATAAACTCAATTATAATATTGTTAATGTGTTAAGAGCACGCGTACACGATCTCGTCCAAGGTCTAGAATGAGATAACGGAAGTGAATTCCGGTAGAGAGATGACTGAATTTTTGGATCTATGATGAGCAGAGAGAAAACGGAAATAAAAGACTTTATTGGAATTAATTCGGTGCCCGACCTTGTCAAGACACAATAATTAATTCTCCAGAAAAACCTCCCCTTACATCCACTGAGGACCCCTATATATAAGTCATATAAGAGCCCCTAAAGAGAATAAAGTAAACCTGCTAAAACTGAATTAGGAAACTTGCTAAAACTGAATTTAGGAAACTTGCTAAAACTGAATTTAGGAAACTTGCTAAAACTGAATTAAAGCAATAAAATAAATAAAGAAACTTGCTCCCAAAGTCAGCCACTTTCAGTGGCTTTATTGGACTGAATTCCTTCGGGCCGATCACCCCTTTGGCCCATCCTGCGCCTTTGATATGTTTGACCCCAAAACTTGTCCATAACATCACTCCCCTCGTCGACTAGGAGCTTGTCCTCAAGCTCAAAATCTGGATATGAAGCCCGAAATGTATCTGCAGGTTCCCAGGAGGCTTCTTCAAGTGATTTTCCCTGCCATTGGACCAGGAATTCTAAGCAGCCATGATTCAGACGGTTGCGGATAATAGCATGCGGCTTACTCTCTTCAGGTGGGTTAACTAGCAATGGTAGAGTCCCCATGGTTGCTGGTGGATTTCCCTTGTGTGGCTTTAAAAGAGAGACATGGAACACATCGTGAATGCGGCTCTCAGGTGGTAATTGCAATTTGTATGCTGCTTGTCCAACTCGTGACTGAACTTGAAATGGTCCATGGAACTTTGGAAGTAATTTATGGTTACCACGACTTAGGGAGAGTTGTCTATGAGGATGAATGCGTAGCCAGACCCAATCTCCTACCTCGAAGGACAGATCGCGGTGAGTTTTATCGTACTGCAGCTTCATATGCTGTTGTGCTTGAGCTAGTCGTTCTCTAGCCTTAGCTAAGAGTTGATCTCGGCTAAGAAGCGCCTGTTCCACACCCTCTAATCTCGCTGTCCCAGGAATATATGAGATAAGTTTAGGTGGATCCCGACCATAAACAAGGCGAAAGGGTGTATCACCCAGCGAAGTATGATAAGAGGTGTTATAGCAATATTCAACCCATGGGAGCCAACGAACCCATTCTTTTGGATAGTCACTGGTGAGACATCGCAAAAACATTCCCAATGTGCGATTTACTACCTCGGTTTGCCCATCCGTTTGAGGATGATAGGCAGACGAAAATGCTAATTTAGTTCCAGCCAACCGAAATAGTTCTTTCCAAAAAGAACTCACAAATATTTTATCACGGTCAGAGACGATGGATTCTGGCAGTCCATGTAGGCGGAATATTTCCGCAAAAAAAAACCCCTGCAACAGAAATGGCAGTGAATGGGTGGGCTAATGGCAGGAAGTGTGCTGCTTTAGAAAGACGATCAACAACCACCAATATTACTGTCTTTCCTCTAACCTTGGGCAACCCTTCTACAAAATCCATCGATATATCTGCCCAGATATGTTGTGGAATCAGGAGCGGTTGAAGGAGCCCTGCCGGCTGCAAGTTCAACCATTTGTGTTGCTGACATGTCTGACAATTCTGAATAAAAGCTGCCACGGTGGATTTCATGCCAGGCCAGTAAAACTCCCGTCGGAGACGCTGCAATGTCTTTTCCACTCCTTCATGGGCCATGCCATGGAAAACTGAAAGGAGGGTCGAGATAATGTCGAATGAATCCAGTAGGTATAGTTTAGACTTGAAATAAACTAGCCCGTCGATCAATGTCCAATCGTTTGTGTGGTTACCAGCTGTGATTTGGGATCGAATTTCAGAAATCACGGGGGAGCCCGTCTGTTCAGCCCGGATTGCGCTTAGTAAGGAATTGAATGGAATTGTCAGAGCTGCCAAAGAAATATCTCCTTCATCGCGGCGGGATAGTGCATCAGCTGCAACATTAAGTCGGTCGGGCTTGTATTCTACGCGAAAGGTGAACCCCATCAATTTGCTCAACCAGTGTTGCTGTGGGGAAGTGGTAATGCGCTGATCCAATAAATGTTTGAGGCTGGAATGATCCGTTCGGATGACAAATGCACGGCCCCACAGATAAGGACGCCAATGTGTGACTGCTTTAGCCAACCCAATGAGTTCCCGTTCATAGGCTGGGAGTTTAATGTGGCGATCTGCTATCTTTCTGCTGAAGTAAGCGATGGGATGTCCATCCTGCTGCAACACCGCACCAAAACCAGTACCTGACGCATCACACTCAACCTCAAAGTCTTGCTGAAAATTCGGCAATTGTAGCACTGGCGCTGTTGAGAGGCAAAGTTTTAACTGGTGGAAGGCTTCTGCTGCAATTTCTGTCCAAACAAAGGAGTTCTTCTTCAACAATTGTGTCAAGGGCCCTGCAATCTCGCCGTATCTTTGGATAAATTTGCGGTAGTAACCAGCAAGGCCTAAGAACCCGCGCAAGGCTGTGATTGAGCTAGGAGTGGGCCAATCCATTACTGCCTGAATCTTAGTTTTATCAACTTCAACCCCTCCGCTATGGATAACATGACCTAGGTAATGAACCTGGACAGTGCCGAAGCTGCACTTGGATTGTTTAAGAAATAAGCCATTATGACGTAGCACATCTAGGACGAGACGAACATGGTGAACATGTTCAACCCAAGATTTGCTATAAACTAAGATGTCATCGAAAAAAACCAAAACGAACTTACGTAAATATGGTCTGAAAATATCATTCATCAGACTTTGGAATGTGGATGGTGCATTTGTCAGACCAAATGGCATTACCAAAAATTCAAAGTGACCATGATGAGTTCGAAAAGCTGTTTTATGAATATCTTCAGGAGCCATGCGAATTTGGTGATACCCGGAGCGGAGGTCCAATTTGGTGAAGAATTTCGCCCCGTGTAGTTCATCTAACAGTTCATCAATGACTGGGATGGGAAATTTATCTTTCACAGTTTTAGAGTTGAGCTCTCTGTAATCAATGCAAAAGCGCCAAGAGGCATCGGTTTTTTTTACTAGCAACACAGGGGATGAGAAGGGTGAGTGGCTTGGCTGAATTATTCCTTGCTCAAGCATCTCAGAGCATTGGCGTTCGATCTCATCTTTCTGGAAATAAGGGTAGCGATAAGGCCTGACAACTACCGGTCTAGAAGGGTGAGTGGCTTGGCTGAATTATTCCTTGCTCTGATACCAAATTGTTAAGAGCACGCGTACACGATCTCGTCCAATGTCTAGAATGAGATAACGGAAGTGAATTCCGGTAGAGAGATGACTGAATTTTTGGATCTATGATGAGCAGAGAGAAAACGGAAATAAAAGACTTTATTGGAATTAATTCGGTGCCCGACCTTGTCAAGACACAATAATTAATTCTCCAGAAAAACCTCCCCTTACATCCACTGAGGACCCCTATATATAAGTCATATAAGAGCCCCTAAAGAGAATAAAGTAAACCTGCTAAAACTGAATTAGGAAACTTGCTAAAACTGAATTTAGGAAACTTGCTAAAACTGAATTTAGGAAACTTGCTAAAACTGAATTAAAGCAATAAAATAAATAAAGAAACTTGCTCCCAAAGTCAGCCACTTTCAGTGGCTTTATTGGACTGAATTCCTTCGGGCCGATCACCCCTTTGGCCCATCCTGCGCCTTTGATATGTTTGACCCCAAAACTTGTCCATAACATAATGTTTATATATACTTTTGATTTATTATATTCAAATTTAAAAAATTAATGAAAAAATAACACTGTTAAACTTTTAGGGAATGATTTTTATAGAATGCAACTGCTATTGGACTATTGGTATCAATTAAGAACAAAAGCTTGAATCGTGGGAAGCCTGAAATCTTTTCCGCGGACTGCAGTTCTTCAATCAAGGTCCATCTAATTTTTCCCAGACAATTGTAAGTTCTTCATTCTCTTTGAAACCCAAGGTAAAAGGGTTTCTCTTTTCTAGTCAAGCGAAATTACTTTCAGTGTTTTCCGATATGAGTTGTTTCTTCTTCAATACGCAAACTAGCATTAGTTTATATGGAGGCATCTTTTTCTTTGATTGTTTTGGTACATCGGATTTCTGTGATAGTATGGTTTGTTTTGGTTGTTGTAGAGTAAATGGAATTTCCTGAGCAATTTGAGAGTCTACAGGCTTTTAATCAGCCCAAAGAGGGTCTTTCTGGCTCTCACGCAGGCAGAAATGTTTGTGAGCAATTGGGGGTTGATAAGAAGGAAGCAGCAGTTAAGGAAGAAATTGCAAAATTAAGAAAACTTCCTCAGTACAGCACATACGTTATGCACCGCTTGCGGGTTTTGAACCAAATCACTCATCTTTTGTCCATCCAGGTACTATGCTGGATGCTATCTCTCTTTAGGATCTGTTTGGATAGATGATTTGAGGGGTTTGGAGGGGATGACCTGGATTACCTTATATCTTGATGAATAAAATGTTTCTCAGAATGAATATAGGGCGGTTGAGTCATTTTTTACTCTCAAATAGCACTCCATAGACCCCTTTGATAAAACCCTTCAAAACCCCACTCCCAAACTGACCCTTTGGGTCATAGGGTGAAGGATGAAGGGGTTTGGCCACAGAGGGCTTATTTTATTATTTAATGATGAGATAGCATTCTAATAACATTTTGTTTGTTTTTTGAAACATTAGGCTCATCAATATTCTAGATGTAGACCTAGTCCTCCATGAACTCTCTATTCAAAATTTCAAACAGACCCATAGGGATCTCGCTGAGTACCTTTATGTGCAGTCCATCAGAAATATACTTCTATGTATTCATTTTTATTTGTTTTGAAATAATGGAGTGCTTTCACTTGTTTTCCTTGCATATCCTACATGGGATTAGTCGATGCTATCCATGTCAGTAGTCCCCCGGTTTGGTACCCGTTACGAGTATATGACAACTTTTTTTTGGTCCATTGCTTACAGGTTGATTTGTTTTGAAATCTGAAAAATTATTCTAAGGTGATTCTATAATTGCAAATTTATTGAATATCATTTTTGTTTTGATCTTCTTGTTCACCCTTCAAACACTCTTTCTAAAGAATCTTATTCCATATCATTTCAATAACCAATATAACATTGTTTATTACTCATCATTTTAAAATTGTGTTGCACCTCAAGCTATGTATTGAGAGGCCCCACAGGGGAAGGAGTAAACTTGTAGTTTAATTGGGGGCTGCTATAGGAGTTAAGTTATAGAGATCTATTATGTGCGTAAGGTCTCCATCCTTTGTTCTGTAGTTTACCTTAAAGGCTCTCTACTTCTACAACAGTGAGTATTCTTTGGGATTTTCTATAGAGAGAAATAAAATCATGCTCCATCCCAAAATAAGGATCATTTTCATAAATCATAAGGAAAAATTGTGTGGTCATATTATTTCCTATCCTCTAAACATACTTCTACCACAATAATTCATTTTCTTAGTAAGCATACAGGTGAAACCCAATTCACTATTTTGGATGAAAGAAGTTCAAAAACAAAAGTATATTGGAAAGTTATATAACTACAAAACAATACGGAGTATTATATTAAAAAAACTAGTACATAATTGAAGGAGAACACCAAACTCCAAAGCTTCCCCGAAGTCTACATAAAGTAACTTCTTGCGAGCAAGATCTTGTCTATGGCATCAACTTTGCTTAGGAATGACCTCGATCCTCTCTGCTTGTCATATGACCTTTAGGTATCAGATAACATTTCATTGACTTGACTTAATTCTTTTGCAGAGAACCACATCACAAGATGAGGAGTTGGAGTTGCTATTCGCTGGGCTTTCTATTGGGTGATCAGTTTATAAAAAGTACTCATGATTCTCCACCGATTTTTCAGATCTTTGCCAGATTCGGTAGTCTATCCATGGTGTGCTCATATCTTCGGGTCTTGCTTTTTTTATTTATTTCAAATATTCTTATAAAGAGTGTATCTAGGGGTGAAAATTGTCCAGTTTCGGTGTCGAGCTTACTGGTTTGGTTCCTAAGAAAGGGGAGCCTCAACCGAAACAAGTTTTACTATGGGTGTGGATCTGCATGGTTCCCAGCTACAAAATAAATAAATTTATACAAGTATAATAATAAAAGGAAGATTTAACAACTTTTATTAATTGTCCCGGTAGGGGTTTCACGTAGTTTAATAAAGTGTTTGTAGAAGTTAGAAAAAGGTGGCTATTAGGGCTTTTAGGTTTAATTTTTTTGGGGGGTATTGTATATTTGTGTGTACACTTTTTGAAGATGTATTGTAAGAGTTCTTTTTATGTGATAATTTTTAAAAAGGGAAGTGAGAGATGTAATTTAGAACAGGCCAAAAAAATGAAAGTAAGACAAATAATATGGAACGGAGGAAGTAATTCAACTAAGAAAGACTAAAAGTTAAAACATCTCATTGACAATGATAATTGAGTAAATTTCAGAGAAGTATTACACTTAAAATTTGAAATCTCATATCATAATTCAAGTTCACAAAAAGAAGGGGAATGGAAACTAAAACATATATAATACTCCTAATATAGTGCAGAGTAAATAATAATATAACTTACTAATTTTGCCACTGCATTTTCAAGCATTTGTCCTTGTGTAGTTGTGTGTGGTATTTCTATAAAATTTCCGGTGGCGGTAGTGACAATTTGGGAGGTCTGTGTGTGTGAGAATCGATCAAGATAGAATTAGGATACAAGGGATTATTCATATTTGGTCACTTTTTGGAAATGTTAAAAGTGGTCCTATATTGAAAATGAGGAATTACCTTTTGGTAACCATATTTTATTGAAATTTTATTATGTGGTCTAGTATGTTTAAGTTTGGTCTTGTTGAATAAAGGTTACATTTTACTATTCTCTAAGTTTAGTTTGATTTGTTTAAATCTGAAATGGTATGATCTGTTTAAGTCCTATCTTGGAATGAAATAAATCCAAATGAAAACATCATTTAATGTTTTGTTTATGTAGTAACTCATTGTATTTTCCTTGTAGGTCTCAAATTGTAACTAGCAGCTTGATCTCCATCTACCAAATTTAGAATGTTGAAGCCTAATGAAGAAATAGTTTTGTGTTACTGCGTGTTGAAGCTTAAAGAAATAGTTCTGTGTTTGGAAATTATAAGGCCATTTTCTTTGCTCTTCCGTTATGATTGTGGAACCTTATAAATCGTCCAGTTTGTTCATGTTTGATTTATCCTACAACAGAAATGGACAAATTGGACTCGGATTAAAATTGGGTTACTGATCTTGTACTTCTTTTTTGTGTGTTTCCGAATACATTTTGATCATTTGAGATTAGTGCTGGATTCGGGTCAGGCCACCCGGCCCGTGGACCGGCCTGACCCAGTTCTCGGGTCCGGGTCCGGTCCGGTCCTAGGCCCGGGGGGCGGTTCCGGGCTCGGGTCCATGTTTTGGGGAACCGCCCGGCCGGGTCGGGCCCGGGTCCGGGCCAAATTGTTTTTTATCACTCTTTTGGGTTCCACCGGGTTGGGCTTGATGTTTATAAGGGGTTTGGGGGGTTTGGGGGGGGGGTTAGGAAAGCAAAAAAAATTACCAAACCGCCGGCCCGGACCCGGACCGGACCCGGTGGCTGCTCGGGCCGGTCCCGGGCCCAACTATTCTGAATAGCCGGCCCGCCTGGACCCGGCCCGCACCGAGTCCAGCACTATTTGAGATGTTTTAGGTCATTGTTGCAGTCCTTGGATCTATTTTTTATAATTAAATCATGAACAAAGTATTTGATGAAAAGTTACAATAGGGATGGACTACAAATACTGTTTTCTTCATCAGGACAAGACCGAAAGTCAGGTCCACCATCTTGGGAATGCATTTAAACTATATGGAAATATATATATAAATATCTAACACAAAAATTACCAACAATGGTGGGAAAATTTTATCTCACCATACTAGTTCCAAAATTTTCTTGAAGGACTCTTGAACAAAAGTATGCTACCCAGACAAAAAGATGAAAATTTCATTCAGTTTGGGTGCTGTAAGACATATGCTAACTCCTGAGCATGTTCCAAGGATCCCCCCAACATGTGACACAGGTTATCATCATAGGCTCCTATTCAAGAATCAAGATTGATGGGGAAACACTGTAGTTGTTTTATTCGTACTCCAAATTAATTGATATCGTAATATGGGGCATTTTTTCTAGTGGTTAACTGGAGATTTTTACCAAGTTAACTTGAATATTTAATGGCCTTGAATATACAACACCTTGGTGCAAAATATATGATGATGAGAAAGCCTATTGATAAAAAAGATGCACCGGGAATGAGGTCCCTAGAACCTGCTATACAATTTGCTGTGAGGATTAAATCAAAACACAGTCGCAATTTGAATTCCCGACAATACTTCGACACTTTAAAAAGTCAAAGACCAAATTTACTAGACCAATTCAGATCAGACCAAATTTAAACAAATCTGACCAAAAAATTCCAATCCAATTAAAAACGGCTGAACATGGCATTACAATTTTGTCATTCCTTATCAACTAAGAATTGAACTCCAATCCAATTAAAAACGGCTGAACATGGCAATACAATTTTGTCATTCCTTATCAACTAAGAATTGAACTTGGCTTTACAATTTTGCCATTCCTTATCAACTAAGAATTGAACTTGGCTTTACAATTTCATCACTCATTATTAACTACTTGAGCTACACCTGCCGGCTGAACTCATTAATTGTATAAAGGGAACATCGCTATAAAGAGTATGTCTCAGCATAGAGTGGACTGACGTACACATTTGTCATTTCATTTCTCTAGTTGCCATCAAAATAAAAACAGGATAAAGATATAAAGCTGATTCATCAAAAAGATAAGTATAATTGAAACAAACATCCAAATGTGTTGCTTAGATGAAAGGTTACAAAGCAATGTAACATGAGCATATAAGGACCTTTGTGCCTGATGCGCTTTTGACTGCAAGGGGTAAAACATAAAGCATAACCCATATCCTGAACTATATGCAGGGTCCTTGAGGATGACATGAAGTCAAGATTATGATGAGGCAAAATTAATTGTATCACAGAACCAGAATGCTGCTCGCTTGATAATGCAAATGAAGATCGCTTGAACAAGACAAACAGAAACTTCATCAATGGTTAGCCATATATGATCCTTGGAATTTTTAGATCAGGTTCACCAAGTGGAGTGCCAGTCAGGTACACTTTTCATTGGAAAAAATGATATGTACATTTGACACCTATATGGAGTCTAAACTGCACAGGGAAATGAAAGGAACAACTCAGAGTTCAGACTAGAGCCCAAGTAAAAAACTAAAAATCTGATTAGTAAGACAAAAAAAGGGATTGGAAATCCTTTAAAAACCATTTGCAAAATTAATTGACTAGCAACTAAAGTAAATCATGGCTTCAACTCCATCTCATCAATGACCCAGCTAGTATGGTATCACCTGTAGCTATAAAGCCTCATAAAGAATGGTCCTTGGAAATAGTACCTTCTAAGCAGTCAAGAAAACCCTTTGTTCAGTTTCTGAATGGCACAGTACATTTTCCTCCGAGGACCGACTGCATTGATCCCCATATCCTTCAGATCCTCCAATGTCAGCTTTGGCAAAACATCATCGTCAACCTCATGAATTTCAAACAAAGGGGAATACCTCCCGAGTCCTAACTGGTTCAACCATACGTTCACAGCATTTGTACCAGAAGAGTAGTTCCAGTTCTGGGGCTCTTCTCTATCACTTGGCCCCTCGTCTGAAACCCTAGTCATCCTCCTGCTAGTATTCTCGATTCGTCTACCATCACCACCCGCTCCAGCACTGCTGTTATTCTTATTGCTATCCACCAGATGAGGCAGGGTGTGCTCTGAATCATCCGTTCCAGAATCAGGGCAAATTTCATCAAGATTCTTCGTCTCTTCCCTTCCACCACAAATTAACATATCATCCTCAATGGCGTTTGAAACAAAATTGGGCCTCACTCTCTTAGTTGTTGCTCCACTCTTAGATTTCAAATCCCTCACATTCCAGTCCGCTATTGCACCAGCATCTATATTATCATCCCGATCCTCATCCTTGTCCATATTATCAGAAATCTTTTTGTTGGTGTTGTCATCGGAATTGTTATCATCTGGGGTTTGCGCGTCGTTACATGAAAAGTTGGTGAAATGCCGCGATTTGGAGGCGGCTTTGATGGTCGAATCCTTCCACTGCGGCTTAACTCTTCGATGCTCATAAGAGGTATGGTTCCCGCCGATGTCGCCCAGCCTGACGCTAGGCCGTCGCTGCCGCTTCGTACCGATTTTGTCCACAGCGGCCGGCATTTGATCGCTGTTCTCCATTGGCTGTGTACCCCCTTTCTCCACCACGGCGAATCGGCTAAGCAACAAACGAATAAAAAAGGCAGCCGGAAAATGGGAATTTGACCTTTGTATTAGAGCGACTAGGGTTATATGAAAGAGTGATTAGAGCGACTTTTTACAAGAATGCAAACTTGCAAGGCGGTGAGATTTCGAAAAGATTTTGAGAATGGGAATTTGACCTTTGGATTTCTAGACTCATATACTCCTTCCCTCTCTAATACTACCTCCGTCTGTCTTAGGGAGTGTTTGCAATTGCTTCAACTTTAAAAAAGTGATTTTTTAGAGTAATTTTGGGAAAAGTGATTAATAGTAAAAGTTGGTAGTGTTTGAGAAAAAAGTGATTCTGAAAAAGTAAAAGTTGGTAGTGTTTGGTAAAATAAGTACTTTTTGTGTAATATAAAAAGTGAGAAGCACTTTAAAGCACCTTTCTACCTGCTTCCAACTTTTAGCTTTTAAGTGATTAATTTAAGTAGAAGCTGTCATTTGAAAACACTCTTTTCAGCTTTTTTTAAGCCAAAAGCTAAAAAGTGCTTTTTTTAAGTAATCCCAAACACTCCTTTAGTTTGACTTGACATGGTTATCAATGAAGTGGTTGAAAAAGTAAAAGTTGTGATTTAAATTTGAGTATAATAAAGTGAAATGGTGTAGACCACATATTTCTTTCCAAAAAAGGAAAGGACACTCTTATTTTGGGACAACCCAAAAAGGAAAGTAGGGCAGTTAAAATGGGACGGAGGGAGTAATTTTGACAAGTTTGACCGGCACGAGATTAATAAACTAAAAACTATATGGTTGAGATTTGTGTAGAGGAGAGAGAATTAATTGGAACTACAAATTCGTTACTTAAAAAGGAAAGTGATAAAGTTAGTGAGACATCCAAAAAGGAAAGTTGGCAAAGTTATAAGGGATGGTGGAAGTATTTTGGATAATATTGCTTCTTATCCTTTTTAGTTAGTTTTTTCTTGAGGTAAGGGTCAGATTGTTGCTCGAAGTTGTAAAAAAAAATTCTTATATAAGAGGCTCTGTCCAGCCATCGCCATTTTAGGCGGTTCTCGATGGAATTTTTTGACGAATGTTTTTTTAGCATCTTATTCATTAAGTCTAGTTTACTCATACCAAATTTTAGCTAAAAATTCAACCGAGAAGACATTCAAATGATAATGGGCGAGATCCCCCCCTGCTCAGAGACCCCACCTCATAGGGTTTGTCCAACACTTTATTCGCACACTCATAAGTCATACGTCAAAACCTGTCAGTGTGACCAATGACACCACAAACAAAGCAAAAACTAGGGAGTTTTCGTATTTGAAATCCACCCAATGGCCTGCACCCCGCCCTTTCCTAAGCGCCGTGCCTACCTTCAAAGGTTTTCCCACCTCCATGCAAACCCTAATTCTCATATAGGATTCCCAATTTTATCTAAACTAACTTTGATCAAAACTAATGAATTTACCAATAAAATTACCAATTCTTCTAGCCACCCCTATGTTCTCCCGACTTAATCTTAATTGCCCCAAGTAACAACAGATTTTGCTCAAACATCCAAGGACCACTTCCTAGAACACGTTACATATCAACAGTGTGGTAAAAAGTGAACAAGTACCTTTTTCACTAATCTCTTTGATTGAGATGGCTTTTCTGGGGCGTCATGGTGAGGCCATGAGATCCCTGAACACCGAAAACCTTATCATCCCGTCCGTGAGAAGAGTGCCCAAGGCTGGAAAAATAGTCATGCATGTGTTCCGAGCCCTCTCCTTCATCGTCGACTTCCTCATTGAAATGAGTTCTTCCTCTTCCCCGCAATGGCCATGTTGTCATACTTGTTCACTATGTCTTTCATCATTTTCTTTCTGCTTGGCTTAGTGCTTGAAACGAGTAAATTTGTTGTTATCTTCTATCAAGCCCTGCCTCGGCACCAGGAATGAATGGTCTTGGCTCTCTGCTTGCTTTACCGAAGAAGAGGCGTAACACGATCGTGGGAAACTTCCAAACCCTACTTGAGGGAGATGGCCGCTTGAATGTCTAATATTTTAGATATGTGCACTTTGTTCCTTTAAACTCTATTCTTTCACAACTTTTGAATTAATGGGGTGTATACATTAAGGATTATGAAACTGAAGCACAAAGACCAATATATATAGTTCATCAAGGGCGACACTTGAGTGAAAAGGAACGGAAAGGGCGACACTTGAGTGAATAATAGAATAGAAGTTGATTTTTGACGTTTTGATTTGTGTACACAACCATTTAGATTATAGATCTTCACTTGTCTATATAAACTACATTAAAGCTTTTCATTTCTTAAACGAATTGTTTGTATACTCGAAAAAATTAAATAAGGTGCTTACAATAGATATTTTCCTTTCGAACTTGTTAAGAACTACGCACAATTCATGACAAATTATGTGCTTCTCCCTGGCTTTAGCAAAGGAGGAGGATGTCTCACGATTTCCATCCATCCCATCAACAACAGAAAAATAAGGGCCCCCACCTTCTCACAATGGGAAATTTCCCGAAATATGACTGAATCATATCAAATTCCCCGAAATATGGCTAGCTCTATTTTAGACTTTCGTATGACTAAAAATACAAAAAAAAAAAAGTGCCGCAATATTAAAATGTTGAAAGGACAAAAATACTCTTATTAATAAAAGGTGCATTTTGCATTGCTTCTGTCTAAAATACTGCACTCTATGAAGACATTACTGTATGACATTTAATACACTATATTCTAACTTTACCCCGTGCATTATGAAAATGTTTTTTAAAGCATTACGAAAATGTTAATACATTTATCGTTCTGTTTTTCCTTTTTAAATTTGATAACTTTAGTTTTTACATCTAATTAAATATAATGCATTTTATGTCAGCGTGACTTCACTTCATGTTGGAGTTATGACACTAGACATTATAAAAATATTAAGAATTTATAGTTTTTTCTTATTCGATAAGTGCACATTTTATGTCAATATTAATGTGTGCTACATTATTGTACTTCTTGTCATAATAACTGCATTTCTCGTCATATTATTGCACTTCTTGACATAATTAGTGCATTTCTTAACCTATTCTTTGCACTACATACTACAAATTACTCATTTCTTATCATATTCATTGCTCACTATCATAGAATTCACTACACGGTGGGTTCAAGTGTCTTTAACTTAGGGTTCGTCTCCAACCTTGTGCGGTGAGCACGCAGGCATGGGTACGGCAATACATGTGGCAGGTGCCCATGCTTCGAGATGGGCGCGGTGCCGCGACATGGCGACGACTGCGACGAGCAAACATGGAGACGGAGGCAGCGCAGGCATGGAGACGGTCGCTGAAAGGGATGGAGGTGCCGCGACGACGGTGTGACGTGTATCGCGGCGATGGGGCGGCGGGTGCCGCGACAATGGGCTAATTAATGGCTAGGTTTTTTAGAAAATGAGTAGGAGTTAAGGTTTTATAATATCAATCTAAGGGCGTATTAGTCCATAAGATTTACTCCCTCCGTCCCACTGGACTTTGCCAACTTTCCATTTTTGTTTGTACAAAAAAACTTTGCCACTTTCCTTAAAAGCAATGAATTTGTGGGTCTGTTTATTTCTCTATCCTCTGCACAAATCTCATCCACACAGTTTTTACTATTCTAATTTCCCACCTAACATCAACTTGGCAAAGTTGAGTGAGACGGAGGTTATATTTTTTTATTCATTAAATATTATGAATCTAAATATTATTTTAGGAAAAAACTAATGAGATCATAGATTGAGAAAGTGTGTATGTGGGTTTTAGGATGTTCTTACTTTGGCTGTTTTCAGTCCCAGACCAGACAAGACCAGACTTAAACAGATCAAACCACACCGGACTTAAACATACCAGACCAGACTTTCGTAGTTATAAAATAAAAAGATACCAGACATTTACAGACCAGACCAGACCAAACTTAAACAGACAGACCAGACTAGACCTTACTTAAACAGACCAGACCAGACGAGACTAACAAATTACAGTCCAAGTAAAAACATCCTTAATCACACCTAAGATAATTTTCTCTTTTAGAATCTTAGTGATGACATATATTCCCATATACCGCAGGGGTACCACAATCGGCGAACAAAAGGCTCCCAAACATCCCAAACACTTAAGGAAAGACTCCAGCCGACCTCTGACCTCGACACCCAAGGTCGGGAAAAGGCATTAGACGATGAATCAACAAAGGTCAGAAATCCAGTCGAGGCTGACTTCGACCCCCCACCCCGAGGTCGGAGCTCGGGGATCGCACAGACAAAGCAAAATATGAGGCCTACCTCGATCAATTCCAAATAATTGGATGAGGAGCCGTATGAGGTGAAAATCTCATGCACGGTTCTGTAGAGTGGCAGTAAGAGTCACTTATCTGTCAACTTTTACACTGTTTTAGAGTGATATTTTCTATTATATCTCCGAAATAATGAATTGAGTTCGTATCAGCATTTTTGATGCTGATATTGAAATAGCTTTTCTAGCAATTTTTTCACACCGAGGACAGTACCAACTCCAACCTGTTCCACTGGTGCAAAGCCAAACGAAGCCAACGAGAGAGTCAACGCTGCCAGACAAGACTGGAGACCAGACATAAATCCTCCAGTAATGAGCGCAAGCACGTGAGCTCTGACCTCCAGGAGCTCGGGATCTCACGAGCGCCGTATGGACTTGGGCATTTCACGGAATTAAAGGCCACATAAACTATCGCCACGTCACCAACACTGTAAGAAGTGCCACATCACTCCAGACTGATAAAACGAAAAAGATTCCAGATAATACACGTGTAACCCGCGCATGTAGCAGGTACAATCAACCAGCTATCATAACTATCTCTCCAATCACCTTTACACGTGTCAGCACACAATTATATTAGTCTGATTATTTTGTTAGATGGGTGGACACGTGCCCTCTCCACAATAGAATAAATAACACCTTCTTAATTACTTGGACACCAAGTATTATCTTTTTAGTATAAATATCACCTTCCGACATGTGGAAATGGATTCGTAGTTGAATACTTTTACTGTTACTCTGCCAAAATATACACTCGATCTCATTTTACAATTTGTCCAGTCATCTTCCTTATTTTCCCGGATTCTGGCTAACCCCAGGGTTGACAATCCACCACTTAGAGACCCTCATTTCGGTTCATTCGGGT